CATTTTTGACATTAATTCTAATCATTTTGCATAGCCGAAAAATACTACATCTGTGCAGTGTCACCATCTCCAGTCCTATTCGAACCGCGACCGTTTCAGCCCAAGCAATTCCCCTCTTCAACCCTTCTTCTTCCCTCTGGTCCCAGCCTTTCTTATACTTTAGCTGTGTCCAGAACTTTCCGACAATTACTCCAATCCCGTAACTCGTTGATGCATCTCCGATCCAACCCACATTTTCGATCCCTTTCTTCGGTATCAGCTTGTGGTTTTCAAAATTCGCCAACACCTCCTTCCATTCCGTCAAGTCTGCTCTTACTGTTGCTGGTAATTTTTGTGTCGCTAGTTTATTTATCCAAGACGCCTTCAAACTATGCAGGGCCATGCAGAAGCATTTCGTGTGCGGTAACATGTATGTCACGTGAACTAGTCTCCCCGTAAGTTTCTCATTTCTTTATACGTGTGTGAGTCCTTCTTCTCTAGGGCATAATCTATTTGTTGCATTCTCTCCTTCTTCTTCGTTTCCGGTAAACGTACTGATCTTTCTCTACCATTCCAGATAAACCCGATGTACTTCTGTTCCTTGCTAAACTCCGAGTATTTGCCTTCGTTCGTCTTCACGCCTAAACTCGCGCTAGCCTTTACTATCTCTTTCATCGACACCGGCTTTCCCGTTTCCTTCAATCTTACGAATAGATTGTCATCTACCCACCGGAACACAGCTATCAGTTCGAACTTCGCTTTCATTATCGCTCTCCACGCATCCGCTGGTCCTCCGAAACTGCCGCAGCCCGCTACCCCACCGAAAGTTACTCTGAGATCTACCAGAATCCACCCTTCCGGTGTCCTCACCATCAAGTATTGCCATTGATTCGGCTTTGTTGGGATTTGGCGGTAAGCCTTTTCCCAGTCGAAAATTCCCACCTCTACTTCTTCTGTGAGTTGACTAAAAAATTCCGCTACCCGATTGAAATCGTCCCAACTGGTTTCGAATTCTTCTTTATTCACCATCGAGTTTACTGACCAGATCTCTCTCTCTCTTTTCGGATACGACAGATCGTTTATCACTCTCGTCGTTCCATCTCCGTTTGTCACCATCCCCATTGGACTCGTTCTGAAGAAACCTAGCTTCTCGTATACTTCCTTCTCCGTAAAAGGTCCTCTCATCCTTCCCGCTCTTAACTCCTTCCTAAGTTTGTCTTTTATTTCCTCCTCGCTATCTTTTGACGTCGCGTGATTTGGAGGTGAATAATATGGCAAGTTTCCTAACCTGTGCTCTGGTATCCCCTGGTGGAACCCTTCTCTAAACCCTTTTATGACGTAACCATGCTCTTCCATCAGACCAAATCTTGTTAACTGCCTTTCCCACTCATCTATATCCATTTCACATACAACCCCCTCCGGCCACGTCCTTCTCTCCGGGTATCCGTGAAACGTTGTCGTCTCCTCTCTTTTACTCTCATGACCGCTTGACGGTTCTTGCTCCTTATTCACAGCCTCTAGCACGTCTTCCTTTATCTCCGCCTCCATCACCACTTCCATTCCCACCGTTTTGTCACCTAATCGGTCTTGACAGTCTATCGTACTCTCTTCGACTTCAGCTACCTCTCTCGTTTTTGTCTCTTCTCGCCTCGGCTCTTCAACTCTCGGCTCTCGTGGAATGTCTCATATTGTCTTTCCATTCACTCTTCCTCCCGTCATGGGGTTTGTTGCCTTCCTTTCTTTCTCACTGGATGGATACGAAATGGAACTTTGCGCGCGAAAAGGTGAAGGCAGGGTATGGAGACAAGGGTATGTTATTTCATGCTTTCACTCTATGTATTATCTTATACTTCTAACAACAGGTGTTCCTCTTTTGTCTCAACACTCACTCTTTAGCTACTACTTCTCCCGTTCCTGCGCTTCCCCCGTTGCTCTGTCCCCTTTGCTTCGCCCACCATCCAGCACCTCTTCCCTGGAACCAACCACCCCCTCTCACTTGGTTTCCTCTGCCTCCTCGGATGCTTCCCCTCGGTTGTCCTCTCCCTCTACCGCGTCCAGCACCTGTTGTGCGATAACAGAGTGTCCAAAACAAAAGTACTCTGTGAGTTAGCTTCCTGTCTTGTTTATTTTCTTTCTCCTCCTACTTTTGCTCACCTCTTAAGCCTGTTTGTGCACTATCACTATTTGCATAGCCAACCCAGTTTGTGCTGACCACCGCCAAGCTGCTTGCTCTCGTCCAACCGGTCACCGGATCAACATTCTCTCTTCCTCCTCCAGCCACGTACGGATTGTCCGTGAACCGTCTTTCTCCGTTCGCCTCCGCGTCTTCTTTCGCTTCTCGTAGGAGGTCTTCGTGAAAGAAACCCGCATCTTCCATGATTCTCTTTCCGTCGACTTTCTTCACTTTCATCACTATCAGTCTTACTTTCATGTCGTAACGTAGCGCCACCATCCAGCACTTAGTCAACCTTTTCACTTTCACCACGTTCTCTTTGTGTTTCAAGAACATCCTAGCTGCTATCGGTCGGTCATACTCCTCTTTTAAATATCTCACGAACAACTCAAAAGCATCTATCCATGCTCCGTAGGTCATCAACAGTTCTTCTCCTGGCTCTAGACCTGAGTATTTTGCTGACGAGTCGTCATCCTGCAACTCCTTTAGAGTCTTTGTCTTCTTCTTTCCGGCTACTCAATGATCTTTTTCAATCCAGCTCTGGTCGAAAATCGACATCGGGACATATGCTTTCAGAGTTTTCATACGATTCTCGAAGTAGGGCGTCAGGGGCATCAACGTTGATCCTCCCAGGGGTTTCCCAATCCTGTACGTTATCCCTCCTTCCTCTTCTACGCGCGGCCAGTTCACTTCAGTTCTCATAACTCTCCTCTTATGATTGACAACAGGTTAGCTTACCGTCTTCTCGCTCTTCTCCGTCTACCTCCTGCTCTTCTTCCTCGACCTCTTTCTCTCCTCTCTTCTGTCTGACAACCCTCTCCTGCTCTCGCACTGTCCTTCCCGTCGACCTGCCTCTTTCTACTTCTACAGAACCTTCTCTGTCTCTATGTTCCTCGGCTCCTTCTCCTTCGTCGTCATCTCCTATTATCAGAGATTCCGTCCTTGGTCTTTCCTCCCTTCTTTTCATCGGAGAACGTGCTCTCTTCGGCAGGGGTCTTCTCTCCTCTCCCGTATGTTCTTCTCCGTACATCAGGTTGAACCCCTTCAGCATGTCAGTCGCAAGGACGTCCTGTTCTGTGTCCATCGCGAAGCCAATCGCTTGCCACCATTTCTCTTTTGCCGTCATCTCCTCGTAAGGCTCTGTGGGTTTCAGAAATACTTCCATCAGTTCTTTTATCCCTCTTTGTCCATCCTACTGTCTCTACTTCATACTCTCCGACTGTCTCTTTCCGCTCTTTTCTCCTCCTTTCCTCTAGACATTCCTCTCATCTTTCTTGTCTCTGTCCCCCTAGGCCTTGCCCCTCAGGTTCTGCTCTCTTATCACCGCATCAGACAGCCCTCTCCAGCATGTCACGGTCGTCAACTGGGTTGAAGAGAAAATGGGGAATTGGAAGACTAGCTTTGGACGCTTGGACATGACCACTGTGCGTGGATATGACCACTGTGTACATCTCCATAGAGGAAGTGAGATGAATGACATAGGAAATAACAACTGCTGATGCTTACTCTCTCCCGTTTCTTCTTCCTGTCCATCTCCTCTCTCTCCTTCTTGCTCTTCCCTTGCCGCTACCTCTTGTTCCTTCTGTTGTAACTCGGTAGTTTGTCTTTGGCTAATCGAAGTTTCCGCTCTATCACCGCTATTCTCCGTTCTTCCAGTGTTCGTCTCTGCTTCTGTCGTCCCGCTTCCACTACATCCTTCTCCTCCTCTATTCAAAGATTGGCTTCGTGTGACCGTCTTACTTGTACCTTCTACTTGGTTCTTCTTTTTCAATTTTATTCCTGCTGCTGTTAGCTTTGCTTGTGTTTCTTCTAGCTCGTTTGTTAATGAAGTCATCTTTCCTTTACCCGATAATTACACGACTTTTTGAAATGTTCCAACCGTGAGAGTGGATTGTGAACGATAGAGTTTGGTCGAAGTAGGTATAGAGATAGTTTGAGTTTTGTGTATTACAAACTCAAATCTCTCTCGTGAGCAAAACTCTGTGTGGAGTTTATGGGTTTATACCTACTTTGCCCAAACTCGTTCATGGACTTATATCCTAAGTCGTGCCTTTGTTAAGATCGGCAATCAATCTATGAGACCAATTAAAAAATCAAAAAAATCAAAAAAATCGAATTTTGAATTACATCAATTATATTACATATAGTTCAATATTTATATAATTTTATCATTTAAACAAAACTTAATAAGATAAGTATAAACTATTAACAAACAGATTACAAAAAGAAAGAAAGAAAAAAAATAAGAAAAACTCGAAAATAGAGGTATACAGGTTGGAAATGGTTTTTAGGGTATTAATATTAGGTTTATGGGTCTAGCAGGGTTAGAATATGAAAGAGGAGAATTATTTTAGTCAGTAAAACCTTTTCCAAAGGTGCCAATCCAGCTGGAGAAAAAACACAACACAGATTTTTCGGCTGAATCAGTCTGTCCACAGGGAATTAGCTTTGTGAAATCAGACAACCTACACGTTGTGGTAATCAATCTATGAGACCAATTAAAAAATCAAAAAAAACAAAAAAATCGAATTTTGAATTACATCAATTATATTACATATAGTTTAATATTTATATAATTTTATCATTTAAACAAAACTTAATAAGATAAGTATAAACTATTAACAAACAGATTACAAAAAGAAAGAAAGAAAAAAAAATAAGAAAAACTCGAAAATAGAGGTATACAGGTTGGAAATGGTTTTTAGGGTATTAATATTAGGTTTATGGGTCTAGCAGGGTTAGAATATGAAAGAGGAGCATTATTTTAGTCAGTAAAACCTTTAATCTTGGTGGTCAATAAGAGAAAATAGAAGTTATTAAGGAAATGGGAAAAAGTCGAAGTTGGTAAACAACGGTTTACAGGTAGTTTTACATATGTAACAGTGGTATTAGTAATGAATAAGGTTGCCAAGAGTGTTTTTAGGGATTTTCAAGGTTGGAGATTACTGTGTAATGTTACAGAAGAAAAGAAAAGCTTAGTAAAAGGTGTGTAAAGTGAAGAAAATAAGTGAAAATAGTCAAAAATGAACGTTTTCAGCTGATTACATGTGTTGAATGACGTCAGAGCATGATGACTAATAGTCAATTAGACGCAGAACCATCCAATTCATAATGTACAACCTTTAAATCATTAGTAACAGAGGTGTATGACAAAGGTTATAAGGAATTAAAGGACTTGATTACACATCAACAAGATCAAAAATCATTAATAACAAGCAATTACATCATTGAAATGCCGAATCATCATAAGATCAAATCAATATTCACTCTAGAACATTCAAAACACAGCATATACACAGCATATACACAGCATTTGATCATAAGAATAGGGATTAGTCATGTTTTACTGGTCAAATTAGTAATAAATCTTTCATAATGGGTTGGTGAGCTACTGATGGCAAAATTTAGGAATGGAGAGAGTGGTTGAATCATTAGATCAAAACTGTTTACAAACATTTTTAGTCATCTTTTGGTTTTTTAGATGGTAAAGAGGGTTTTTAAGAGCTGTTTACCACTTCATTGATTTGTATATAAGCTTTTGCCCTTTGTGCGAAATTATGTTTCCTTTCTTCTTCATTTCTTACATAGCATTAATCATTTTTATCATTATAAACTTATTAGAGCAGTACTAGGTCACTCAAATCAGCCCTTCATTAGAAGAGAAATTTGTTTTATGTGCTTTATATGACACTGTCATTCTGGAATAATATCAAAAAGATATTGAGCTTATTTTTCAACATTTTGACTCGACTGGAATAACACTTTGAATGTGTTGAGCTTATTTCTCTGGTGATTTTTATCAAGATACTTTTATCTTATTATCAAAGACCTGGTTATACTTCTCTGTTATCAGGAGACTTTAACAACAAAGTCCAGTTTTTTAAAGATTCTCAGAAAGAGCAGTCTCAGACACCTTCTTTAGATCTATTATAGCTTCAGATTATCCTCTTTCAAAGCACTGTATAGCCCTTGTTGTGTTATAAGTACTACAATGTGCAGGTCAGCAACATATTGTAGTTGTTGACTTTTGGTAGGGGCCCCACGAAGTCAATTGCTAAACATTTGAGTGGGAGACCTGGTATGGAAGGAGTAAGCATTTTTCCTATGGGGGCTTGCGTTGGTCCTTTTGTCCTTTGAAAAACATCACACAATTGAACAAACTCTTTCACATCACTTGCCATGCCTGGCCAAAAGAAATCATGGCAAATATTGGTGATTGTCTTGAGGTATCCTAAGGGCGCGTTCACTTAAGCAATTTCTGGTGAGAAATCACATTCTGCAAATTTTAAAGTGTCCATTTGGTGGTGCATGTTTCATTTTTGCTTTAAAAATTTTACAGAATGTGATTTCTGGTCAGAAATTCCTTAAGTGAACGCGCCCTAAGTGGCCTAGTCGAGAATGTGTCTCTTCCACCAGCTCCTGACAAAGATTTTCCGTGAAAGGGATGTATAGTCTATTCTTGATGAATAATAAATCTTCAACAATCGTGCAGTCTTCTTGTAGTGGTAGAACCAAAATGATTGTGCTATAAAAAGAATCCTTATCATACCCCCCCCAAATATGTTGACGTGCTTGAGCTGATAAGGTAGGGCCTGCTTTGACTAAGGCCGCTACACACTCCACACCCTCCTGCTCTACTTCCTTGTCCTCACCATCTTTCCTTGACAACACATCCACCACACAATTATCTTCTCCTTTCACGTATTTAAAGTCTACATCAAAGTCCGCTAGTGTTTCAATCCATCGCGCTTGTCTCCTACTGGGGGTGCGTTGTTTGAGAAGGTACGTTAACAAGTGGTGGTCACTCATGATGTTGATCTTCATCCCCAAAATTAGCATGTGCCATTTATGAAGTGCGTGCATAACAGCTAAGAGCTCCTATTTGTGTACAGGATAGTTTTGCTCCGCCGGTGTCATCTGATGTGACTTGTAGGCCACGGGTGAGGGTAGCTTCCATTCCTTCCCTTGGAACAAAGCTGCACCCAAGCCATGTCTGCTGGCGTCGGTGAAAAGCCAAAGAGGATCCTCCGAGTCAAAATCAGTATTTTTCAGGTGAGGTAGTGACGTCATGAGCTTCTTTATGTTAGTGAATGGATCATCTTCTTCTTTCCCCCACTTAAACTTAGAAGGATCAATCTTTGTACTGGTGAGTGGTGTCAACTTGTTCACGTACTTTTCTAGTCCCCAGAGGAACTTCTTCATCCACTTTACCGTTCCAAGGAACTCCTTAACTCCTTTTGCTGATCTTGGTACTTTCCAATTCAATACTTGCTCCACCTTTTTGTTATCTGCTCTTATCCCATCTGCTGAAATCCAATGCCCCAAAAACTTAATCTTGTCTCTGAACATTTTTATCTTCTTCTTGCTGCAATATAAGTTTGCTTCTTGTGGTTTTTGAAGTACCATGCGTGTGTGAATAGCGTGTTCTTCCGGTGAATTTGAAAAAACTACAATGTTGTCAAGATAAACTACGCAGATGGAATTCAATAGCTCTCCTAATGCTTCTTCTAACCTCCCTTGATGAGTGCTTGGTGTGTTGGTAAGACCCATTGGCATCACACACCATTTGTAGCGCTCCCCATGGCGTGTATACTGCAGTTAGTGGAATGTCAGCTTCTCTGATCCGAGTTTGAAAGAAGGCATTGGTAAGATCGATAATAGAAAAACAATTTCCAGATGCCATCAGTCTGACCAACCTGTCCACATTGGGAAATGGTGCGCGGTCCCTCGCGGTCAGACTGTTCAAGACGCAGTAAATGCATACCCATCTTGAAGTGCGGTAGGGTCCTTCTTCGGTGAAATTAAGCTTGGGGAGGCATATTGACTTGTTGATCTTCTGATTCGTCCAGCTTCTAGATGTTGATCAATTAATTTTTTCCATGTGTTCATGTGCTTGGGCAGATAATTATATTTTTTTTCTTTGACTACACCATCGGGGTCCTTTAAAACAATCTTGTGTCGTATTCTTGAACTCTCATTTTGTAATTTCTCAGGAAATGATCCATCTACAAACAGACCTTCCTCTTCCTCTTCATCTGATACCGCCGGTATGTCTGCTGGCAAGAGGTTGTGAAACTCTTCAAACATCTCAATCTCTTGTCTCTCATTCTCACTTAGTACCGGTTG